CTTTTCTGAGCTAACGGATGACRTAGAGAGCATGAAAAAAGTTGGAAACCACTGACTGGAAATCATTCTGCAAGATATCAGAAATTTGTGGCAATCTCTAAATTTTCCAACTACCATAAAGCAGAGGCCAGAGCCAGTCACGCTATGTGACGCAGTGGGGTGAGGTCAGTATGGTCATGAGAAAGACTGGGGAAGGCCTTGGATGGACTCCAGAGGGCATGGTCAAAGGGGGAGAGTGAAGCTGCTGATCTGCAGCCARGGGTTTGGAGACAGCAGCAACTGGAAGGCTACTGAGGGCTGCATCAAACTCAGTGGCACCGAATTGGAAATTCTGGATTAAAGAGCAGAATGAGTAAGCCACCACTCTCCATCCCGTGGTCACAGTTTTAGCTAAGAAAGGGGGCTGGAGTCGGGGTGAGAGAAAGAGAGAAAAGAAAGATCTTTATATTCACTTTTTTCCCTCTTTTTTTGCTAGGGATTAAACCCAGGGATTTATGCATGCCAGGCAAGCTCCTGACCACTGTGCTACCCCCACCTCCAAAGCATCAYAGACAATTTAATTTTGACTACATATCTCCTCAAATCAGTAAAGGCTGCTCACTGCTCAAGGACCAATATTTGGTGAGGTGCAGTGGTGCATATTTATAATCCCAGTGGTTTGAGAGGCTGAGACAGGAGGATCACAACTTCAAGGCCAGGCTCAGCAACTTAGTGAGATCCTGTCTCAAAACAACAACAACAACAACAACAACAAAAAAAAGTAAAAAGGGCTGGGGATATTGCTTAGTGGTAAAGCAGCCCTAGGTTCAATCCCCAGTACCAAATATCAACAAAAAAGCCAATCCTGGGGAGATCAGAGTTGGTAGGAGAGAGGCCTAGGGATGCAGCTCAGTGGTAGAGCACTTGCCTRGCACAAGTGAGGGCTTGGATGCATCCCCAGCCACACACTCTCACACACACACAGAGTCAGAGACAGAGGCAGAGACAGAGAAAGAGATGTAGGAAGGCAGTGAGCTTACCCAAAGGCCAAGCTCTTGAGAAGACAAAGGGGCTATGAACCTCAATGCTCCATCTTAGAGGGCTCAGGGTGTGAAGGTTTTTGTTTGTTTATTTGTTTTTGTTGTTGTTTAACAGTACTCAGGATTGAACCTCAGGGCCTCACACATGCTGGGTAAGCACTCTATCACTGAGCTACATTCTCAGCCCTTTTTATCTTGAGACAGGATCTTGCTAAATGGCCAAAGCTGGTCTCAAACTTGTTATCCTCCTGCCTCAGCCTCCCAAGTAGCTGGGATGACTGCCACGCACCACCACCGTGCCCAGTGCAAGGAGCTTTTGCAGGGAGGGGAAAGAGAAGCAGGGCAGGAAGGCTGCATGCTGCGACAGGGGCTTCAGCATCCAGGGGCTTCAGCATCCAGGGTGTGTGTCTTCTTTTCTTGGCCAGAATATCCAAATGGGCCTCAACCTCCTGCAGCTAGTTCCTATAGTTCTTTAGACAGACAGATGACTTTTTTTTGCAAATTAAATCTTACAGCTTTGTTAGTTGCAGCACAGAACTAAAGACTAAGGAAGTGGTGTAACAAAGGTCTCCACTGGTTCTAGGTTCTGTAAATTTAAAGAAAGATTATATAGCAATTAACATCAACCATTTAGTTAGGGCTTCCCTTTAGGGCAAAAGGAAGGGATATAAACCTTGAAAGAGAATTAGGGAAGGGAAACAGCCTAGTGGAAGGGCCTAGGGAGGAGAGGTAAAGTAACTTTGCCAAGGACAATTCCCCAAGGAGCGGCCACTGTTACACTGGGATGGAAGGGAGTGGTCCGCTCAAGATGAGTGGCCAAGGAAGGCCTCTGTAAAGAGAGGACGAAGGAGTTGAGAACACAGGAAGATGAAGTTTTAATATCAATCATTAAGAAAAGGCACGGGGGAGGGGCGTTGAAGTTCACTGGATTAGACAAAGGAGAATGAAGGGCAGGGAGCGGGATGGGAATAGGAAAGACAGGACCATGAATCAGACATAACTTTCCTGTGCTCATATATGAATACTCAACCAGTGTAACTCCACGTCACATACAGCCACAAGAATGGGATCCTAATTAGAATAAGTTATACTCCGTGTATGTATAATATGCCAAATGCATTCTACTTTCATGTGTATCTAAAAAAAGAACAAATAAGAAAGAAAGAAAGAAAGAAAGAAAGAAAGAAAGAAAGAAAGAAAGAAAGAAAGAAAGAAAGGGCCTTTTGCTGGGTGCAGTGGTGCACACCTATAATCCCAGCAACTCGGGAGGCTGACACATGAGGATCACAAATTTGAGGCCAGTCTCAGAAAGTTAATGAAGCCCTCTGCAATTTAAGACTCAGTTTCTAAAAAATAAATAAATAAATAAAAATAGAAAGGGCCAGGACGAATGGCACATGCCTATAATCCCAGAGGCTCAGGAGACTGAAACAGAAGAATTGATAGTTCAAAGCCAGCCTCAGCAACTCAGCAAAGCCCTAAGCAACTCAGTGAGATCCTGTCTCTAAATAAAATACAAAAAAGGGCTGAGGATGTAGCTCAGTGGTTAAGCATTCTGGGATTCAATCCCCATGCCAAAAAAAAAAAAAAAAAA